GACCATTACAACCAACTCCACATTTGCCTGAGTGACCTTCAGTGGGCCTCTTTCCTTGAATCCAAAAGAGCTCAGAAGGGAACTTTCAGCCCACTGAACTTTTGCTGTTGCCTGACACGTGATCCTGTGCCTTGGCACATAAAATATGTGTTCCCAGGAATGCTCAGTCTCCTTTTTCCTATATGGCAACTGCCTACTTATCCTTTAGGAAAACAAATGTCCTTTGATGAGCCTCCAGCTCCCTAGACCAGCGCCTCCTCTGCATGCCTTCAGCACTTTGCTCATCCCTGGTTATCATAAGACCGCTCTTGCTATTTTGTAATTGTTTGTGTTTCTATGTCTATCCCTGGACTCTCACCCTCTTGGGGCCAGTGTCATATCCTACTCATGTTTTTACCTCCCCAGTCTGGAGGTGGGTAGCAGATTCTGTTGGTTCCCTCTTTATACTCCCTCACCTGGAGCTCACTCACCTGCAGACAGTCCCGGTGTACCCCCATGGACTTCCTGTGACTCTCTGCCTGAGTGTTTCAGGGATACCAGGAGCAGAAGAGAGTGAATACCCCAGGAGTGACCCTCAGTCAATGAAAGGTGGGAGTTGGTAGATGAATACTTCAGCTTCCTGCCCCTTGGGGGGTTCACTGAGTTCTATACAGTTCCTCAGAGTGTCCTTTGCAAAACCGACCCTCAGTAGCCTGTGGTGGCTTCTTCCCTGACTGATCTCATGTCCTCACTCCTTTACCATGCTTTCTAGAATCACCTCCTAAAAAAAACTACTTGCACCCTAATAAAAACATGTCTCAGGAATTGCTTTTAGATGAGCCCAACTAAAACAGGGAGATAAAGTGCACAGTGCCTGACAGACAATGAACAACTGAGACCATCAGCTCCTACCCTTCTTTCCATTGGCATAGCATATCAAGAGACACCCTGTACACCCCACCCTGTTTCACTTTCTTCTCCCCAGACAGGACCCAATGGCAAGCACACTCATTAGCACCCTCATCTCCTTGGTCGCTGGTCATTTAGAAGAGTCTACCCTGAGAGTTCCCAGACACTGACACAGACTTGGATTCTCTCCACTCCTGCTCTGGAAAGTTGAGCACTGCAGAAGCAAACTCTCCTATGATATTAGCTGGGGACCATTTCATATTTATCATTTTTTCAACCCTCATCAAACTTCAAAACCCTTTTACTTGCCCCCGATCATTTCCTGTAGCAATGATTATTTGCTGCTATGAATGACTAAGCCCACCTTTCACCAGGATGCTCCACCCCCTTCTTCGTTCTTCCCCCTGCCCTTTTTGTATCTGGAGTACTTGAGTGAGTGAAGTTAGCATGTCTTAGCACTTGCTAGAAGGGCTCAGATTCTGATAAGGGAAAACAAAGCACAATCAGGCTCCTTGGAATATCCAACTAGAGCAGAGATCCCCAGCCTTTATGGCACCAGGGACTAGTTCCGTGGAAGACAATTTTTCCACTGGCTGGTGGGGTGGTGGGGTGGGGGATGGTTTGGGGATGATTCAAGCACATTACATTTATTACACTCTTTATTTCTATTATTATTACATTGTAATATGTAATGAAATAATTATACAGCTCACCATAATGTAGAATCAGTGGTAGCCCTGAGCTTCTTTTCATGCAACTAGATGGTCCCATCTGGGGTGATGGGAGACAGTGACAGATCATCAGGCATTAGACTCTCATAAGGAGTGCATAACCTAGATCCCTCACATGCACAGTTCACAATAGAGTTCATGCTCCTATGAGAATCTAATGCCACCATTGATCTGACAGGAAGCAGAGCTCAGGCAGTAATGTGAGGGATAGGGAGTAGCTGTAAATACAGATGAAGCCTCTTTTGTTTGCTGCCTCTCACCTTCTGTTGTGTGGCCCAGTTCCTAACAGGCCATAAACTGGTAGGTGGCCCAGAGGTTAGGGATGCTTAGATAAGAGGTAGGAGATGAGCTTCAGACCCACCAAGTACAGTACTGGGCACAGGTTAGTAAATAATTGTTACAGGGATGTCAACCTGTCAAAATGGTCTGGATTGGCCAGAGGAAGAGGGGATCATGGTGAGAGGGCAGCAAAAGAACAACACTTAGATAAGTACTATTACTAGCTCCATTTTACAGATGAGAAAACTGAGCTATTGACAGGTTAAGTAACTTGTCCTGGGTCACACAGATGGTAAATGGTATAGTCAGGATTTGAACTCAGACAGTCTAGCTCTGAAGCCTGAGAATGTAACTACTATATCATACTGTATCTACTGACTTTTGAATACAGAATTGTATTAGTCCGTTTATATGCTGCTGATAAAGGCATATCCAAGACTGGGAAGAAAAAGAGATTTAATTGGACTTACAGTTCCACATGGCTGGGGAAGGCTCAGAATTATGATGGGAGACAAAAGGCACTTCTTACATGGCCACAGTGAGAGAAATATGAGGAAGAAGAAAACGCGGAAACCTTGATAAACCCATCAGATCTCATGAGACTCATTCACTATCATGAGGATAGCATGGGAAAGATCGGCTCCCATAATTCAATTACCTCCCCTGGGCCCCTCCCACAACACTTGGGAATTCTGGGAGATACAATTCAAGTTGAGATTTGGGTGGGGGCACAGCCAAATCATACCAAGAATTATTGATAATTCATTGGAAAATCAGCACAATACAATCCATCATCTGCCTCCCAAGCCTGGCATGCTTATAATACATATCAGATATACAAATAATACATATCAAACAATTCAGATAAAAAAATACTGTATGTATAATCTGCTGTGCATTATTACATAGCCATTATTAGTGGATAGGAAACTAAAATGAGTGTGTATTTTTCTCTCAGTTGTTCTGAAACATGTGATGTCAATCATGGCGAAAGTGAGTCCATGTGATACAGTGAACATAGTGGTAAACTGAGGCACCCCACAACATGGCTAACTACATGGCAGCCATACCTCAATTTGCACATCTTTAGAACAGAGGGCTGGAGTAGACAATGTCTTAGGTCCCTTTCAATGTTAAGGTTTTGTTTTTCCATTTTGTATTGACAGGAAAAACTTGACTTCAAACCTGTCCAGCCCACACTAGAAATTCTACTGATGCAGGTGACTGGGGTCAGGGAGGGAGCCTGTATGAGGACTGGTACATAACATCTGTTCTCCTTGGAAAATCAGCAGCAGCATTTTCATAACTGAAGAATCTCTGTGCCAACTATGTCAACCCTTTCAGATTTGCAAACTGCACTTGGAAGTTACAAGAGCTAGCAGATGGCTCTAATTTCAGAGTACCCTTGACTGCTAAAAAGAAGGCACTGATGAGGATTTATCTCAGGCCAGGATTTGGGGCTGCTACATATAGAAGGGATTAGCCCTTTGCTGGGAGGATCACCAGCACATGCTCTCTGTGTGGCCCAGTCCAACTTCTGTCCTGTGAGCTATGCACTGTTCTACGACCTAGTGCCCAGGCAAACCCCACATTTTAAAATGCAAAGGAATAACCACTGCATGGTAAACCTAGTGGGAAGGAAGACACACCACAGGATCAGATGTGCATCCACAGGAGCAATTTTTACTGAATTGACCAAGAAGGTAAGAGCATCTCTGACTTTGGTCACCTTAGAATAAGAATGGTCTTGTTCTACCTGCTCCTGATTAAGCCTCCAGGGAGCTTAGGAAACACAGTCTCGAAAAGATTGCCTCAAAAATGTAGACATATTCTACTGAGGAGGAAAAAATGTGAATGCAGATATTGATCACATCTTGTGTTACCCCTTCTTTCCAAACTTATCTCTAAAGGCAGAGAGGATGGAGGCTGTCTGGAGGCTCCTTCTGGCATATTTAACTCCCTCCTGTCCCCCTCCTACTTGCATATATGGACTTCCGCCCTTAGCCACAAGCTTCTCTGCCTGAGGTGCCCATTCTCAAATGCAGGCCATGCAGGCCAGAAATCTCTCCTCCCATCTCTTTACACATCCCTTTGAGTCTCATGTGTGGTAGGTGCTCAATAAGTGTTTGCTGAATTGATCCATGTGCACACGAGTGTGTTTGGGGAATAACTTAATTCTCAGGGTTCCCCTGTATATACCAAACCCCATTTTCCACTGAGAGAGACTAAGGCACCAAAGCTCCGCATCACACAGCTCATGGAGCCACTGAGGCTCCTCTCCCTCACCTGGTCTGATGTTTTCAGGCGGGGCATGGTGGCTCATGACTGTAATCCCAGAACTTTGGGAGGCCGAGGTGGGCAGATCAATTGAGCCTGGGAGTTCAACAGCAGCCCGGGCAACATGGCAAAACCCTGTCTCCACCAAAAATACAAAAATTTAGCTAGGCGTGGCGGTGCACACCTGTGGTGCAAGCTACTCCGGAGGCTGAGGTGGGAGGACCCCTTGAGCTCAGGAGGTGGAGGCTGCAGTGAGCAAATATCCCGCCATTGCACTTCAGCCTTGGTGACAGAGTAAGACCCTGTCTCAAACAAAACAAAACGAAAACCCACAAAGTTTTCTTCTGAAAGGGGTGGACTGGGGAGGCCGGGCTTGGGGTCAGTCTGCGGATATCAGCTTGCTTTGCAAGGGGACGAACTGAGCCATCTTTTTGCCATCATTTACCCGAGATGTGGTCGTCCCAAATAAGCAGCTCTCGGTAAGTTTCCGTTTTGAAACTTCTCCGACCCTCCTTTCCCGGGCTGACTCCGGGTGCCACAATCTAGTGGAGTTGCCGGCCAGATCAAGCCCTGCCCCCGGTCCCTCCAACCCCGCAGAAGCCAGGAGGCTGCCGGGCCACGGGAGTGGGGTGCTGGGCCCAGACAAGAGGCTGCAGGACACCACCCCCGCCCCATGCTCTGGACTCGCGACACACGAATCCCCACAAACGCGGCCGCCCTCGCCCGCCCGCTTGGCCGCTAGCTTCGCCGCTTCTTCTTCTCGCTCGACCACCCGGCCCTTCTCCCCAGCGTACCGAACCAGTCCCCGGTCCTGAGGAGACTCACCGCGCCACTCCAGGAGCCGCTCCGGAGAGAGCGCCTCCGCCACGCCCTCGGCGCAGCCCCGCGGTGCCCCCAGCAACAGCAGCAGCGGCAGCAGCAGCCACAGCAGCATCGCTAACCACTGGGCTCGCCTGGCGGCCCAGGTCCCGGGAGCGCAGAGCCGCGCCCCAAACACCAGGCCCTGCGGCGCGGAGGCGGACCCGCGGCCTCCCCCGAGCCCCACCCTTCCCGGGACCCCGCCGCCCCCTGGCCCTGGAGACCCGCTCCGCCACCCCTGCCGCCACAGTGAACTGACACTCGGGGCTCTGGGCTGGGACGCGGGGAAGTCACGGAGGTTTTCCCCGCCCTGCCCTCTGCGGCTTGGGGAAGGCGGAGGAGGGGGGGGTGGGCCATCTGCCCATCCCAGAAATTCCTGCGCGTGGGGTGAGGACGGGAGCTGGGAGGCTGCCCGGGACGCACTCTCCGCTCCCCCCGCTCGCAGTCCCGCTCCCTCCCTTCTGGGGGAGGCCGGAGAGGAGTTGGGGGTGAGCGATTTGAGAATCTCCAGGACGTGGAGCCTGATATCCGGGTTCGCAAACTACCCAGATTCTGGTAAACGCCGCGGGTTTGCAGCCGGCAGCTTAGAGCGAACCGAGCTGCTCCGCGACCCAGGCGCTTTGGGAGCGCCCTGTACTTCTCTGAAATGTGGAGCGCTGGAGACCCCTGAGGGCCCACGCCTTGGTCTCCACATTCCTTGCCCTAGAGTAACCCAAAGATTCTTCTATTGTTCAGCTCCTTCGGTTTTGAGGTAACCTCCTGTTTCCATCTCCTTTGATCCCCCAAGCCCCGCAAAGTAGCGGGGGTCCCTATTATCCCATTTTACAGCTGAGAAACCCTGCCCAGGAAATCGAAGTGCTTTGCTCCTTAACCCAGCAAAAGTTAGTCTCTAGTAAGTAGGACAGCCCGGGCTAGAATGTGATCCTTCTAACTGTCCTTCAAATAACCAGCAGAATGCTGGAAGCGTTTAATATTCTGAGAACAGGCTCATATAAGACCTTTCCTCAGCGGGACCTTGAAACATAAAACGGGACCTTGAGTCATCAAAACATAAGTGGGTGGGGGGAGGGCAGAAAGCAGAGCCTGGAAGGAGATGCCCATCAGGGAGCAGGATTGAGGGTCAGAGCCAAATGGGGAAGAAGGGGAAGTGGTTGCCTTGGCCACTGCCTTAACAAAAGGTGCTCAGTGCTGCAGGAACCTCAGAGAGCCTCAGAACTGTCTGTCCGAGGACAAAAGGGGAAAGCGTTTATCCATGGACGTTTATCCTTCTCTGTTGATAAGGGAGATCCTAGGGTTATTAACTCCTCTGCACTCTTCTACAGCAGTGGTGAGTTTCAGGCATGGTCCCACACTTTGCCTCTGAGAAGCCCTGGGGCTGGAAGCTGCAGGTACACAGCATGGCAAAAGGTGAGGCACTGTCAGGTTGTTTTTCAGGGGGTTGGGGACCAAGGAGACAGCTAGGGGAAACAGGCTGTAGAGGAGGCTGGAGTAAGAGGTGGGTTGGGAGGATATGAGAGGTTGTAGTGTGTGTAGAGTCTATATATCATTACACGTAGAATTCAGCATTCCTGCTTGAAAACATGCAGAAAAGAGATGCTTTAACTCTGGTAGATTACACAGACTTCAGCCACAAACTATGTATCCAGCTCTCCTAAGGCCTCAGAACTACACTGCTATGAGAATACCCCCACAGTATTATAATAGAAGACCTGGCCCTGCCCGAGCATGTGTTGCAGCAGGCAAGTGCAATGCATGTGGCATAATTAGGTCATAAAATGGGACACTGATTCTTATCTCTGGTGAAGTCCAAGGTAACGACAGTAAAGGTGAGAGAGACTAGAAGGAGTCAGACTGGTCATAGAGGCTTAAATGTCTTCAGATAAGGTAGTGGGTATTGGGAGGAAGTGGCTGTTGTAGGATGGGAAGAAATTGTGAAAAAAAAAAAAATTATACAAAGGTTAGAGTGAGAACTGCATGTATGGGAGAGAGTGAGGCACGTCTGGCTGAAATAAAGGGCAGCCACTGGGGCACCCTGACAAATGAGGACAGTTGCTGGGACATTGGGCTACCTCCCACTGCCTGTGGACCAGGGTGAGTTGTTCACATGCTATGGGCCTGTTTTAGTCTCTGTAATGAAGTGGGGAAAACCTCCTTTGATCCGTAGCAGATACTATTCTGAAGTAGCAGAGCTGGGACTGTAAGTAGGATAAAAAGGGAAAAACAAACCTTATTTCGTCTTCAGAGCAATTAGTATAATGAAGAGAGGTGATGACAGTTTCCTGGCCTACCAACCCCATATTGCCTATTCAATCATTAGAACACTCAGAAAAGAACTACTTTTTAAAAAAGAAATCTCTTCCTGAAACACTGCAGCTTTGAAATGGAAATCTGTGGTAAAGAGCTTTTCAGCCTTCAAGAAAACGACCACCACCCATATTCTGGACTCATGTGTGTTTCAGGTTCAAGAGGCAGTGTAGGGTAATGATTAAAAGAGGCAGTTCTGCTACTTACCAGCACACCAATTAGTTTCCCCTAGCCTCAGTTTCCTTCTATGTAAAATGGAGATAATAATATTTGCTTCATTGTGTGGTTGCATTAAATGAGGTAATGTATGCAGAGCGCTTCGCACAGAGTCTGACGCACTGTAAAGTTCACCTCTGGGAGCTGTGGGTGTATGGGGAGGGAGTGAGGAGCAGAGAGCAAGAGCAAAGCTCAAGAGCCATGCTGCAGAGTGGTGTGCTATTGGTAATTATGGCTCCAGACTGAGGAGTACAAAGGAGCACAAGCAGCTGGGGAGCATGGAGGGCAGGGTTTGGTGCCGGCTGGCATTTGTGCAGCTTCCCATTGCTTCCCTTCTCCTTTGGAGTTGAAATTCATTATTTATCTCTCACCTGAATGTGAATTTCAGGAACTTAGTCATCTCTCAGTCTCTGTTGAATGAACAAAGGAATGAAAGAAGGAAGGAATGAGGTTGAAAGAAATACAGTAAGCCCTCACTTAACATCATCTATAGGTTCTTAGAAACTATGATTTTAAGCAAAACAACGTATAACAAAACCAATTTTCTTTTTCTCATCAATGTAATAATGAAATCACATTGAAGGAAATAATGTTATTTGAGGACCTGCTGTATGTCGTTTCACTTAAAATTGCAGTTTCCAAGAACCTGTCAGTGACATTAAGTGAAGACTTACTGTATAGTGTATGGGGTCATTTAAAACTTGAGAAAAGTATTAAAGCTTAGAATTGTATTGACAGTGAAAAAAGTGGGATTTAAAATTCAATGTGTGGGTTGTGGTTTGGGTCAAAATTAACAAAATTTTTTGAGCACTGTGTGAATTAGTGTATCAGCAAGAAAGGGTGAGGTCCTGATTTGTTGAACATTTACCCAAGGGACTGTAGACCCTGAAAATTTGAGACAGGCCTCAGTTAATTTAGTTTATTTTGCCAAAGTTGAGGACACACATCTGTGACACAGCTTCAGGAGGTCCTGACAACATGTGCCCGAGGTGGTCAGAGCACAGTTTGGTTTTATACAGTTTAGGGAGACATGAGACATCAGTCAACATATGTACGATGAACATTCGTTTGGTCTGGAAAGGTGGAACAACTTGAAGTGAAGAGGGTGGCTTCCACGTCTTAGGTAGATAAGAGACAAATGGTTGTATTCTTTCGAGTTTCTGTTTAGCCTCTCCAAAGGAGGCAATTAGATATGTATTATCTCAGTGAGCAGAGAGGTGACTTTGAACAGAATGGGAGGCAGGTTTGCTCTAAGCATTTCCCATTTGAGTTTTTCCCTTTGGCTTAGTGATTTTGGGGGCCCAAGATATTTTTCTTTCACATTCCATGCCTTTTCTTTTAAAAATCTTTTAGAGGCCAGGCGTGGAGGCTCACACCTGTAATCTCAGCACTATGGGAGCTTGGGGTGGGCAGATGACCTGAAGTCAGGAGTTTAAGATCAGCCTAGCTAACATGGTGAAACCTCATCTCTACTAAAAATAAAAAAATTAGCTGAGTGTGGCGGTGCATGCCTGTAATCCTAGCTACTCAGGAAGCCAAGGCAAATAATCACTTGAACCTGAGAGGCAGAGATTGCAGTAAGCCGAGATCATGCCACTGCACTCCAGCCTGCATGATAGAATAAGGCTCTGTCTCAAAAAAAAAAAAAAAAAACTTTTGGAGAAAATTAGTCTCTGGTGTCAGTTTTGTCTTTTTATCTGATGTTTCATAGCTAGGATGGTTTATTCCTAGATAGGTATGTTCCGAGTTATTAAGAAAGCTCATTTTTAGAAGGTTGTGAAGTCCGATGTCCTGTGAAGTGAAAATAGGAGGAGGAAAGGAGAACAACAGCAATAAACAAAAGAACCGTTTTGGAAAATTGATGTAGGCCACATTACTCTGAAGTCCATACATCAGCAGGCAGGTATGAAAGTGGCTTATGTATGTAAATAGGTTGCTGTTATTTTCTTCTGAAGTTTAAGTTGTCTAGCTTCAGTTTGCAGAGCTTTACGAAAACACATCTTAGTTTTCAGTGACTCCAAATTAGGAAAAATGGTGGGGAAAAGGAAAAAAATTGAAAATATTATTTTGAAAACTTGTAGCCAAAAAGAATTAGAATTCAGATTCTAGGCAAGACTAGAATCTAACAACAGGCATACTATAGTTTTTAAAACACAATTTTTCTCCCTCCAGTTTCTCATTTTTAAAGACAAATCATGGTAGGACTGATTTGCTTTATTATACTTGTTCTAATTATTTGTATACAGTGCAACAAGAATAATTATTTTTACATAGGCTTTTAAATTGTCTTTTAAGGAATCTCAGATAAGATGTTTTTAAAGCTGAGCCCATTCATGAATTAATACCTGTGAATTGGGTGATCCTTTCCTCTTGAGCTTCCAAGATAAATTTGGGGCTCATGGGCCTTTTACTTACCATAGGTCAGGAACCCTGTACAAAGAAGATATGAGACCAGTTTCCCCAAGCGCTTTTATTGGCTCCATAAGTCAAGTTTGATTCCTTAAAGGAAAGCACACCATTAAAGACTTGGTAAAATAACCAGTTTCTCTGATTGTGTCCTGTTGAAAAATGAAAACAGATTCTTATTGCACTTACGCAAATAACTATATTGCCATAATTAAGAATACTCACAAATAGTTTTCAACTTCAAGAGAAATCAGGTAAAGAGAAACAAATATGCTCCAAATTTTGTTCATAAATTGTTAAAGCTGTTAATAGCTCAAAAGAAAAGTTTTCTTGACTCTGAAAAAACTAAAACAAAGGATCAGCAACATTTAAAGCAAAAGTCAAAAA